CAACTGGTTGACTCAATGGACCCCCTACTGGCCAAGGGGATATCCTAAAACTAAATTGCCTGCCACCAGGAGGGAGGTCAGACAAGCCTCATCATGCTCCCCACCCTTCTTGCAAATAACAAATATGTCAGGTAGCTTGTGTCTGATTAACAGACCTCCTTATCTTAAAACATTTCAAGTCTTTAGACAAAGCTTCATGTCTTTAACCAACTACAACTCAAAGACTCTTTAAACCTACCTATAACCTATAACCTGTAATGCCCTCCCACTTCCTGCCCCCCCACTTCGAGATGGCCCACGTTTTCAGGTGAAACCAATGTATGCCTTCTGTGTATTGACTTATGACTTTCCCTGTAACCCCTGTCTCCCTGAAATGTATAAAACCAAATTGCAACCCAACCGCAGTGAGTCCACTTGCTCAAGGTTTCTTGGGTGTGGCTCTGGGTCATGGTCCTCAAATTTGGTTCAGAATAAACCTCTTAAAAATTATTTTACAGAGTTTTCCATCAAGAGTAAGAAGGTTGTGGCACAGCAAGAAAGAACCCCTTTCTCCCCCCAGATCTCTCCAATCTGTGCACTTTGCCTCAGTCCCGTAGGAGGCAGTGAGTGGTGTAATGTGGGATTCAGTGGATATCTTTGTGGCTTCAGTGTCCAGCCCTGACAGTTACTGTGTGATTTACTCTCTGTGCCTCAGTCAGCTCATCTAAAAAATGCAGATAATAGTAATCCCTCTTTGCCTGTAAAGGCCTGGGGAAGATTAAACAAGAGAACCCATGTAAAGCATTTACACATCAGAGCCACCCACAGGAGGATTACTTGTTATTTATTTATCCTGCTGCTGCAACTTCGTTTCGGGTCACTATCTTCCACCTGAACTTCTACATGGCCAAGTCATGCCTGTGAGCAAACTCTTTTGGTTTCGCCATGGCTCTTTTGACAGATTTCTAAATTCCTAGTACAAAACCTGTATGATCTGATCCCTGCCTACTTGTCTCTCAGGACTTCCTTCTCGC